GACTCTCGCATGCGGGCAGACGCGTATACTGCTAATGACATTGTGTCGGAGCGAGAGAAAGAATGCGGCATTTACTGCGCGCGCGCCGGGGCTTTACCGTTACGATGCGACCATGCCGCGGTTAGGCTCACACGCACACGCACACGCACACACACACGCACGCACGTACACACGCACTCACGCACGCACACACACACACGCACGCACGCATGTACACACTACACGTACACACACACGCACGCGCACGTACACACACGCACACATACACGCACGCACGCACGCACGCACACACACACACACACACACGCACGCACTCACGCATGCAAGCATGCACACACACACACACATACCCACACACACACGCACACGCACACACGCACACACACACACGCACATACGCACACACACGCGCACACACGCGCACATGCACGCACACACACGCGCACACACGCGCACATGCACGCACACACACACACACACGCTGCTTTATATAGTGATATTTGCATATTAACAATTTAAACATTACATATAAGCAGCACATGTGTGCGCGCCTGTTGTAAGAACAAGCGAACGCCTCTCCGAATTATCAGTAGAACGTACGGCCTCGCCAGCGCTACCTGGCGTTACTTACATGGTGCTGAAGATGGCGGCGAAACACTGAACTTTCTCCTCGAGATCCTGCAGCGAGCGATTGAGCGAGTTCTTGTCGCCGACACAGGGGGCGCCACCTCCGCCGCACAGCACCGGACCGCACAACGTGCTCAACTCTCTGCAACGCAGCCGGCGTAGATGACAAGTGAGCATGCACACACAGACGCAGAGGGAGCCACTGTACATCATCAAGACTCACTCCTAATGAATCTTATTAATATACTTATAATATATATATATATCTATATATATATACATATATACATACAATATGTATATATATATATGCACTCACGCCCGCACACGCGCACGCACGCACGCACGCACACACGCACGCACGCACGCACCCACACACACGCTGTTCATTCTTACCTCTGCCGTTCCTCGAAGCATGAGTAGATGGCAGAGAGACACACAGAGACTAGATTTGGCAACACTCGTGGATGAGGGCACGTGCTCGCCGGGCCGTGCATGCTGCAAGACAAACAACAACAACATAGCGTTATGTAGCGCCGTACACATTACCGCTACACATATACATGTATGTGTATATGTAATATGCATATGTACATGTATAATTAAATAAACATGTATGTGTAAATGTACATGCATGGGTATATGTACATGTATACATAAACGTACATGTATATATAAGTGTACATGTATATATAAATGCACAAGTATATGTAAATGTACTTGTACATGTACACGTACATGTAATATGTATAGGTACATGTTCATTTACATATACATGTATATATAAATGTACATGTATATGTAAATGTGCATATATATATATATAAATGTACATGTATGCGCAAATATTCAGGTATGTGTAAATGTACATGTATATTTAAATGTACATGTATATATAGGGTTTCTTCTGGGAAAATGGAGACAAAGGATGTAATGGCCAGTTTGGGAAAAAACGCGCATGATGGATTCAAATACAGGATGTATTGATATACTTATAGGTATGTACATACAGGATATACTTATAAGTAAATAGAGGAACATCTTCACACACAACGGCGGTGCGCCACTGTGCCTCTTATGTATAAGAAACCCTGATATATAAATGTACATGTATGTGTAAATGTACATGTATGTGTAAATGTGCATGTATATGTAAATGTACGTGTGTGTAAATGTACATGTATATGTAAATGTAAATGTAAATCGTACATTATTATGTAAATAGTACGTTGTGTGTAAATGCTAACATGTATATCGTAAATGGTGCATGTATGTGTAAATGTACGTGTGTGTAAATGTACATTATATGTAAATGTACATGTATATGTATATGTAAGATGTAAATTACATGATATTGCTAACATGTACGTGTGTGTAAATGCTACATGTATATGGTAAAATGTAAATGTACATGTATATGATAAATGCTACATGTATATGTAAACCTGTACATGTATATGTACAATGTACATTGTATATGTATATGTAAAATGTAAATGTACATGTATGATGTAAATGTAAATGCTACATGTATGCGTGTAAATGTGCATGTATATGTAAATGTACGTGTGTTTGTTTTAAAAAAAATGTAACATGTATATGATAAAATGTAAAATGTTACATGCTATATGTATAAATGTACATGCTATATGTATATGTAAATGTACGTGTGATGTAAATGTTACATGTATACTGTATATGTAATGTACGTGTGTGTAAATGTACATGTATATGTAATGCTAAATGTACATGTATATGTAAATCGTGACAATGTATATGTAAATAGTACGTGTTTTTTGTAAATGTACATGTATAGGGTTAAATGTAAATGTACATGTAAATAGTAATGCTACATTATAGTATATGTACATGCTATATTGTATATGTAAAATGCTACGTGTGTGTAAATGGCTACATGTATTATGTCAAATGCTACATTGTATATGTATATGTAAATGTACGTGTGTGTAAATGTACATTATAATGTAAATGTGCAGGTATATGTAAATGTACATGTATATTTAAATGTACATGTATATGTAAATGTGATGTATATGTAAATGTACATATATATGTATATGGTAAAATGTACGTCGTGTGTAAATGTACATGTATTATGTAAATGTGCAGCGTATAATGATAAATGTACATGTATATTTAAATGTACATGTATATGTAATGTGCAGCGTATCATGTACAATGTACATGTATATATTAAAGGTACATGTATATTTAATAGTACATGTATATGTAAATGTGCCATGATATATATAAATGTAACTGTATGTGTAATGTACATGTTATTGATAAATGTAACATTGTATGTCTCATGTAAGTTGTACATCTAATGCTATAAATGCTACATGTTAGTGTATTTATGTTTTACATTTTTTGTATGTGCTAAATGTACATGATATGTTTAAAATGCTACATGTATATATAAATGAACATGTATATATAATATGTACATGTATGATATATAAAATGTACATGTATGTGCTAACATGTTACATGTTATATATAAATGTAATGTAATGTTGTATGTGAATGTAACATCTATATTGTAAATTAACATTGTATATATCCAATGTACAATTGTATAATAAATGTACCATGTACATAGTAATATTGTATATCAGCGACCTGTACGTGTACATAATATACACATACATGTACATGCTACATTAATATATATTGGTGTCAGGACAAATACCCCCGGACAATCACCCCCGGACAATTACCCCGGGACAATTACCCCCCTTGCATGAACCCCGCGACAAATCACCCCCCGGACAATTACCCCCGGACATTTACCCCCGGACCATTTACCCCCGGACAACTCACCCCCGGACATTACCCCCCGGACAATTTACCCCGCCAGACATGTACCCCCCGCCGACAATTACCCCCGCGACATTTACTCACTTGGGTTTATTATTCATTGTTTGAACAGTGATACAGGCAGGAGGTCGAGGAGGAGCGGAAGAAGTTGGTGGAGGAGGAGGGGCGTAGAAGGTGAGAGAAGGTGGTGGAGGAGGAGGAGACGAGAGGGAGAGGGGTGGAGGAGTAGGAGGAGAGGAGTGGAGGATGGAGGAGAGGGAGAATGTGGGGGAGAACGAGGTGGAGGAGGGAGGCGAGAGGAAAGTAGAGAAGGATGGACGAGGGGGGGAGAAGTTGGAGGAGGAGAGGAGGAGAGGCAGGAGGAGGGGAGGAGAAGAGGTGGAGGAGGAGGAGGGGGAGAAACCTGCGGGAGCTTGGCGGCAGGAGGCAGGCGGAGAAGGTGGAGGAGGGAGGCAGGGGGGAGATCGGTAGCGGAGGCCAGGGGTGGTAGCGAGGGGAGAAGGTGGCTGTGGAGGGAGAAAGGAGAAGAGGAGAGGAGGTGTTAGCGAGGAGGGGGGTGAGAACGTGGGGAGAAGTGGTGGAAGGAGGAGGGGGCAGAAGGGAGGAGGAGCGAGGTGGAGGAGCGAGGAGGAGGAAGAGAAGGAGAGAGAGAGGGCTGAAGGATGAGGGGAGAACGTGGGGAGAGGTGTGGAGGAGGGGGAAGTTGGAGGAGGAGGAGGAGGGGGGGAGAAGGTAGCGGAGGGTCAGGTCGGAGTGGAGGAGAAGGGGGAGAGTGTAGGTGAGGAGAAGGAGAGGGAGGAGAAGGTAGAGGAGGAGGAGGCAGAGGGAAGTGGATGAGGTAGAGAGAGGTAGAGGCGCCTTCCGCTACCTCCTCCCTCCCCCACCTCCTTTACCTCCTCTCTCCTCTCCTTCTCCTCTCCTCTCACTCTCCTCCACCTCATCTCCTCCTCCTCTTCACCTCTCCCCCTCCTCCCCTCCTTCTCCGCACCTTTCTCCCCACGTTCTTCCCTCCTCCTTCTCCATCTCCTCTCCTCTCCACCACCACCTTCTCTCCTTCTCCATATGGCCCTCCGTAAACTCTTCATTCTCTACTCCTCCACTCTCCCTTTTCCTCCTCCTCCTTTCCTCCTTATTCTCCTCCTCCTCCTCCTCCTCCACCTCCTCTCCTCTTCTTCTTTCTCCTCCTCCCCATTCCACCACCTTCTTCCCTCCTCCTGTACCTTTCTCCTTCGTCCTCTAACCCTCTCTCCTCCTCCTCCTCCTCACCTTCTCCCCCCTCCTCCTCCTCCACCTTCTCCCTCCTTCTCCTTCACCACCTTCTCCCCTCTTCTTGCCTCCACCTCCTCTCTCCTCTCCTTCCTCCTCCTTCTCTCCTTCTCCTCCTCTCCTGCCTCATCCTCCTCTCCTCCTCCTCCTCCTCTCCTGTCTCCTCCTCCTCCCTCCTCCCACCTCCCTCCCCCCCCTCCTCCTCTCCACCTTCTCCCACCTCCTCATCCTCCACCACGTTCTCCCCCTCCTCCTCCTCCACCTCTCTCCCCTCCCACCTCCTTCCACCTCTTCCTCCGCCTCCACACCTTCCACCTTCTCCCTCTCCTCCACCACCGTTCTTCCCTCCTCCTCGACCTCCTGCCTGCTAATCACTGTTCAACAATGAATAATAAACACCTAAGTGAGTAAAGTCCGGGGGTAATTGTCCGCGGAATAAATGTCCGGGTGGTAAATTGTCCGTGGGGCGTAAATGTCCGAGTAATTGTCCGTGGGTAAAATGTTCCGGGGGGTAATTGTCCGGGGGGTGCCGTGCAAGTCCGGGGGGTGAGTGTCCGGGGGCAACGTGAATGGCCATGTGGGCGTAAATATCTAAAACTCCAACGTCCGGGGGGTAATTGTCGCGGGGATTAAATGTCGCGGGGGTAATTGTCCGGGGCGGTAAATGTCCGGGGCGTGATTCGTCCGGGGGGTGATTGCTCCGAGGGCGTAAATGTCCGGGGGGTAATTGTCCGCGGGTAATTGATCCGGGGGGTAAATGTCCGGGCGGGTAATTGTCCGGGGTAAGTTGTCCGGCGGGTAAAGTCCGGGGGTAATTGTCCAGGGGGCGTAAATGTCGGGCGCGGTAATTTGTCCGGGGCGTAATTGTCCGGGGGTAATGTCTGGGTAATTGTCCGGGGCCGGTAAATGGCATGGCGGGTCAATGGCATGCGGGAAATTGTCCGGGGGGTAAATGGGCATGGGTGTCAATGGCATGGGTAATGTCTGGGGGGTAATTGTCCGGGTAATTGTCCGGGGGTGATTGTCCGGGGTAATTTGTCGGGGGTAATTTGTCCGGGGGTGATTGTCCGGGGGGCGATATTTGTCTAGAACCTATATATTATATATATGAGTCGTGCGCTGGTGATATGCTGTGTTTGCTCACGTGTGTGTACCGCCGCCGCCGCCGCCGTCTGTGGACCCTCCCCTCCTCCCCTCCTCCCCCTCTCCCCCTCCGCCGTCACTTACCGTCTGTTTACGCTCCTGCCGCCGCGTCACGCCGCTGCATTCCCGCAACTGAATAACACATGCACACACACGCGCCACACGCCACACATACACACACGCGGCCACTGATGATCATATGATTCATGTCAATCGATTTCTCGCATCGCACTCCGCAGCTATTTATTAGGGGCCGTTGTGCAAATCGGAGAGAAGCGAGCGCGGACTGTAGGTCTACTCTCTCTCTCACTCCCTCCCTCGCTTCCTTGCTCCACTCAACCTCCTCCCCTCGCCTTTCACATGACACACACACACACAACGATGCACCACACACACTATGCACGCACGCCACGCCCCACGCACGCACGCACGCACACACACACACACACACATGCCACACGCACACACACTCGCGCACACATGCACGCTGCCGACTGCTGCATGCAGATGGTGCTTTGCCGACGTGCTGGACATTTACCTTGTGGACACAGATGACATTTTAATAGGTGGCTTCCTTGCGGCTTAGTGTACTTCTACTGCTACTGCTGCTACTGCCTGCTGCTGCTACTGCTGCTGCTGCTACTGCTGCTGCTTGCTGCTACTTGCGGCCTGCTGCCTTACTGGCTTACTACTGCTACCTACCTGCCCTTGCCTACTGCTTTGCTGTGCTATGCTGCTGCTGCTACTGCTGGCTACTGCTGCTACTGTACTACTGCTACTACTGCTCACTACTGCTGCTACTGTGCTTACTGCTACTGCTGCCACTACTGCTGCCTACTGCTGCTACGACTGCCTGCTGCTGCTGCTGATGCTGCTCTGCTACTGCTACTGCTGCTGCTGCTGCTGCTACTGCTGCTGCTGCTGTGCCTGCTGTACTGCCTGCCTACTCCTCTACTGCCTGCTACTACTGCTTTGTCTACTGCTCCCTACTACTGCGCCTGCCTGCTGCAGCTGCTGCTCGCTTAACCTCGCTAACTGCTACTGCTACATTGCTGCTACTCCTGCCCTACTGCCCTGCCTACTACTGCTTTGCTACTGCTGCTACTCACTGCTACTGCTGCCTACTGCTGCTTACTGCTTGCTGCTACTGCTACTTGCTCTGCCTTACTTACTGCTGCCTACTGTGCTCTACTGCTACTAGCTGTCTCTGCTTTTTTTAACTTCTTTGCTACGCTGCTGCCTAGCTGCCTGCCGCTACTGCCTACCTGCTGCTTGCCTCTGCTGCTGACTGCCTGCTGCTGCTAGCTGCTACTGCTTACTACTGCTGCTACTACTGCTGCTGCTGCTGACTGCTACTGCTTGCTGCTGCTGCTGCTACTGCTGCTGCTGCTGCTGCTACTGCTACTGCTGCTGTTTACTACTGCTTACTGCCTGCTAATGCTGCTAATGCCTGCTGCTCGCCTGCCTTGGCTGCTGCTTACTGCTGCTGCTGCTACTGCGCGCTCACTACTGCTGCTGCTGCGCTACTGCTACTTCTTGCTGCCTACTGCTTGCTTGCTGCTTGCTTTGCTGCTTGCTACTGCTGCTGCTACCGCCTGTGCTACTGCATACTGCACTACTGCTTGCTGCCTGCTACTGTGCACTGCTACTACAGCAAAATGCCAACAAGCTAATGCGACGCCTAAAATCCATCCGTAAATAAGCGGATTTGCCTTACTAATTTCCGATTCATATATATACAATATAAATATACATATATATACATATTATAATATCCTGCGTGAGTGCACCACTTAGAGTGTGTTGTTTTGTTTGGAGAGCAACAGACTCGCGCGTACGTAGTCGACAGATAAACCCACAGCCACGTGCGTGCGCCGTGTGTCGCGTGCGTGTGTGGTAGTCGTGTGTGTGTGTGTGTGCGTGCGTGTGTGGTGTTGTGTGCGTGCGTGCAGTTGCGCTCGTGTGTGTGTGTGTGTCGTGCGTATGTGGTTTGCGTCGTGTGTGTGTTGTGTGGTGTGTGTGTGCTGTGTGCTGTGTGTGGTGTGTGTGTGTGTGTGCTGTGTATGTGTCTCTCTCTCTCTCTCTCTCTCTCTCTCTCACAGACACACACTATCTCACTCTCTCTCTCTTTCTCTCCCTCTCCCCCTCTCTCTTTCTCCCTCTCCCTCTCCTTTCCTCTATGTTCCGCCGCCGCTGTCTTACCTCGTGACGAAGTTCTGAACAACCTTGAGACCTTCGTTCTGTGAATTCAGCGCCAGAATGTAGTCCTGCACGAACATGCGCATGCGCGGGTACTTCCCAAAGTCCTGCAACACGAGAACATGGAACGGCGTCACGCAACAGTGTCATGGAATAGCGTCACGGAACAGCGTCACGGAACAATAGTAGCGATCGGCGTATATGCGTGCGCATGCACATACATACACACGCGTACGAACACGCACCGGGGATTTTTATAGGCGGGTATTTTTTTGACGTCTCGATCTCTCATTAAAACCTCTAACATTGGAACGTGACACGCCGCCGCCGCAGCCGCCGCCGCTGACATTCTAATGAAGGCAATGAAGCAGTGAGAGCTTCAATTGAAATACGAGCCGGAAGCGAAGGTACTGCGTAGTCAGTCCTCCAGTAACGTCAGCGGTGGAATGATCTCCTCATACAGGATAATAATACACGAGACCGCGCGATCACGATCCCACGCCACGTCATACTAGCGTCTCAGGTGGCGATCACGATCCCACGCCACGTCATACTAGCGTCTCAGGTGGCGATCACGATCCCACGCCACGTCATACTAGCGTCTCAGGTGGCGATCACGATCCCACGCCACGTCATACTAGCGTCTCAGGTGGCGATCACGATCCCACGCCACGTCATACTAGCGTCTCAGGTGGCGATCACGATCCCACGCCACGTCATACTAGCGTCTCAGGTGGCNAGAGAGAGAGAGAGAGCTACGGCGTGACTCTATCCCCGCTGCCGCTGCTATTACACATGGTACGCGGCAGTCAGCATCCTAACTAGCGCCTGATGGCGTCTGTCTTCGCGGTCGATGGAAATTACTGCTGCAAACATCAAGTTCATTGCCACCATCTCTCCCCTCCTCCCAGGACCCTCTCCCTCCCTCTTCCTCCCCCTGCCTCTTCCTCATCCTCTCTCTTCATCCCCCTTCCTCCTCCTCTTCCTCCTCCCTCCCCTACCTTTCCCCTCCTCTTCACCCTCCCTCTGAGGGAGAGAGGGAGGGAGTGAGAGAAAGAGAGAGAGAGAGAGACAGAGAGGGAGAGAGTGAGAGAGACATAGAGGGAGAGAGGGAGGGAGGGAGAGAGAGAGAGAGAGAGTGAGAGAGACAAACAGAGAGAGAGTGAGAGAGACATAGAGGGAGAGAGGGAGG